GGTTCATGTCATGGCACATGTCAGGATGGCAGGGTTCATTGTGTCATGGCACATGTCAGGTGGCAGGGTTCATGTCATGGCACGTGTCAGGATGGCAGGGTTCATGTCATGGCACGTGTCAGGTGGCAGGGTTCATGTCATGGCACATGTCAGGTGGCAGGGTTCATTGTGTCATGGCACATGTCAGGTGGCAGGGTTCATGTCATGGCACGTGTCAGGATGGCAGGGCTCATGTCATGGCACATGTCAGGATGGCAGGGTTCATCATGTCATGGCACGTGTCAGGATGGCAGGGTTCATGGCATGTATCAGGATGGCAGGGTTCATTGTGTCATGGCACGTGTCAGGGTGGCAGGGCTCATGTCATGGCACGTGTCAGGTGGCAGGGTTCATCGTGTCATGGCACATGTCAGGTGGCAGGGTTCATGTCATGGCACGTGTCAGGATGGCAGGGTTCATTGTGTCATGGCACATGTCAGGATGGCAGGGTTCATCATGTCATGGCACATGTCAGGGTGGCAGGGCTCATGTCATGGCACGTGTCAGGTGGCAGGGTTCATGTCATGGCACATGTCAGGTGGCAGGGTTCATCGTGTCATGGCATGTGTCAGGATGGCAAGGTTCATCGTGTCATGGCACATGTCAGGTGGCAGGGTTCATGGCATGTATCAGGATGGCAGGGTTCATTGTGTCATGGCACGTGTCAGGGTGGCAGGGCTCATGTCATGGCATGTGTCAGGTGGTAGGGTCATCGTGTCATGGCACGTGTCAGGTGGCAGGGTTCATGTCATGGCACGTGTCAGGTGGCAGGGTTTTGAAATACAGCATACGCCCTTCATTCTCTTGCTGGATAGCTCCACGGTGTGATTGCCTCATGATTTCTTTATTAATTCATCCATTGATCGTTATTTTTGTTGTAGCCACCTTTTGCCTAGTCCTAGTCGGGGCCTGTGGGCAGGAGGGAGAGCCAAGTGTCTGCTGTCAGATCACTTCTGCACGATGCGGGCAGGGATCTGGGATCAGGAGGAGCTGTGTGAGCTCTGTGGATCTGGGATCACTGCTTCTGATCCAGTCTCTGCTGTCACACCTGGGAAAGCAGCAGAAAATGGCCCAAGGACTTGGCCCTACAGCCGTGCAGGAGACCCAGATGAAGTTTCTGGCTTCACCTGGCCCAGCCAGGATTTGGGGAGTGAGCCAGTAGATGGAGAGTCTCTCTGCGTGCATGTGTGTGTGTGTGTGTGTGTGTGTGTGTTCTCTGCATCTCTCCTCTCTGTAATGCTGGCTTTCAAATAAAATAAATCTTTAAATTTAGAAAAAAGCTTGCATTCGTAAAACCTGTACTTTGATCATTTATGGTAACATTATTTGTGACAGACAAAAACTAGAGATACTGAAGTTTTACTTACTGAGCGGGTAAACAAATTAAACTTGACCGTACTGTGGAATACTACTATGCAGTGGAAGTGCACTTCTTACTGACACGTACCAGTATGTGAGTAGGTGTCAGTGGGAGAAAGGGAGCAGCCTCAAAGGGATACACAGTGATTTTAAAGAATCCAAATCCAGCTATTTTATTTAGTGAGTAGAAAGGCAGAATTACAAAGAAGAGAGACAGCTCTCTTTGCTGGGTCTCCTCACAGATGGCCACCATAGCTGGGCTGGGTGAGGCCCAAACTGGAAGCCCAGAACTCCTTCCAGGTCTTCCCTGCGTGCGGCAGGGTAGTCGCGATGGAGAAGGCACAGCTGTGTGCCCTGATGGCAGAGGTGCAACGTGAAGTGAGAGCTGAGGACCTCCCCTCACCCAGGCGGCTTCCTGGTCTCCTGAGCCATTTTCAGTAATGTGGGGACTGCCACCTCGCCACCTTCTGTGGGGCCATAGCTATGTCACAGCAGCAGGTTAAACAGACTGCTCTCAAGTTGGGAAACATGCAGACATTTGGCTACGAGTTTTGACTGTCAGGAGAGTGCTCACATTTCCGTTGTAAGTAGAGCAAGCACTATGTCATGACACATTTAACTTTTTACCATGGTTTCATTGACATGCCTGTGAGCTGTTATTTTTTTAAACGAGGGAACTGTAATTACACGATGACTCTCCATGTCACATGCGCCGAGAACACACGTCCTTCCCCTCCCAGCCTCCAGCTGCCTCGGAGCACGCTCCACGCAGCGTGCCAGGCGCCTCCTGGCCCAGGTGCAGCGCCCAGCCGGGCTGTGCTGCTGTGTGATCAGGGAGATGATGCTGGGGAGAGAAGCTGATGACAGGCTTCACCACAACATGCTAACTTCCATTTTTAGTCTTTTCTCTACTTGAGAAGGCCCTCCCCGCCACTCACTCCTCAAAGGCCTGCTTCTTCCAGCTGGGCCTGGGCCAGAGCCCAGAGCAGGGAGCTCAGCCCATACCCCAGGGGGCCGGGGGTGGGAAGCCCAGGTATTGGAATCATTCTCCCTGCCTCCCAGGACCTGCGTTAGCAGGACGCTGGAGTTACCCTGGGTGCAGGAGTCTTCAGCTGTGTCTTAGTGGCTGAATGCTCCTAGCCACGTGCTAGTTCTGAGAACTCGGTGTCGTAGCCAAGGGCAGCGTGCAGCCCTCCGGGTACCGGCCCTCATGGGCAGCGGGGGACAGTGTCGTTCTTGCAGTGCCCATGTTGGAGCCCTTCCCACACAAGCTTAGCACAGTGCTCCCCGGGCCCCGGCCGCTGGCAGTCTAATTCACCTCTTGTGCTGGCTTAGTGTTCCTGCCCAGGTGTAGCTGTGGATGGTGTGCACCGCGTTGTCCCCATTGAGTCTCATGCAGACAGCTTCCGTGCTCTGTTTGCCCTGGCAGTTTTAAAACCTTATGAAATACAAAATAATATCGGTCAGACATGGCCCAAAGTGACCCTAGAAGACGCCCCTCTTCTCCCTCTACGCCCCACAGACGTCAGAGCAGCACCTCCGTTCAGCTGGCGGCTGGCAAGCGTCTCTGTGCACCATTGGCTTGGGGGAAGTGAAGACGAACTAGGCCTGAGAGGCCAGGCACAGACTGCAGCTGCCTGGTCGCCAGGGCCATGCAGATTCTGGACACAGGTCTCGCTGCCTCCAAGCCCAGCGTGCAGAGACACCGTTCAAGGAGTGTTTGCCAAATGACTACCTGACCTACTGAGAGTCTGTGTGTAAACCTCACCTAGGCCCTGTGAGAATGAGCTGCAGCCAGGAGCTCCCAGGTGTCGTGCAGAGAGCAGCAAGGCTGGTGCTGCTGGCCAGAGAAGGGCACAGCTGGGGAGGGGGCATAGCCAGGGCTGCAGGACAGGCAGACCCGCAGGTGAAAGCCACACACTCCCCGCACTCTGCTACACTCTGCTACTGCTCCCTGCACTCTGCCAGCTGCTCTGGTAGCTCAGAGCGTCTGTCAGGATGAGGAAAGTGTGCCCTTATTTCTGTATTTGAGAGGCTTCAGTAGTTCTGGTTGTTTAATGTCTGTTCTTGCTGTGAGGTGGGCAGGTATGGGCTGTAGCTGATAAAGTCAGGTGAGGAAATGCACCCCCAAGACCCGGCCAGGCCAGGCCAGGCCAGGCGGAAGCCAGAAACTTCACCTGGGTCTCCCACGGGCGTCCAGTGTCGTTGGCCATCCTCTGCTGCTTTCCCAGGCCATCAGCAGGGAGCTGGATAGGAAGTAGAATAACCAGGACTCAAACTGGCCGACTATATGGGATGCCGGAGTTGCAGGTAGCAGCTTTAACTGCTACGCCACAGTGTCAGTTAATTCCATTTTAATAAGGCTGGTATAACAATTTACAAGCAGTGTGACGTGCTGTGTGGCTGTGGTTTTTCATTCCCACTCCCTTGGGTGAAGCTGAGCAGCTGAGTCTTCAAGGTGCTGGAGTGCAGCCTTTTAAAGAGAAGCATAGAGCTTGGTGAAGGAGCAGCCCTGTATAAATGACAGGCGTTCCTGCTCGCTGCTGTTCTTCGGAATGTCCGGATCAGAGTGACATTTTTGTAGGAGCGTTGTCTGAGCCATCTCACACAGCAGGTGTAAAGTGCTGAGTCTCCTTTTGAGTAGGCTGCCCTCTGAGTCATGCAGTGTTCCTCCCACTCACATACATAGGGGACTGACAGGCAAGAACACACTGTATTCTTGCATGAGGGGCTTCCCAAGGCTCAAGGAAAATGGAATTTAAAGATTTGTCAGGGAAGTGTAAAAAACTTTTTTTTTGTTACTCAGGTTTTTCATAGTAAATATTCCTTAGCTCTTTTGCCCCTCTGTGCTGTGAGTATTCTGTGTGCCAAGGAAAACGGAAAGGTGCTAGGACACGCTGTGTGCTTTGTGGTCATGTGAAAAGCCCCATGGCTCCGCCTTCTTCACACACATCGTGCTTGTGTGTGCGGGGAGAACAGGGCAGGTGCAGATCCCCCACAGCACCGCATACCGACACCCTCGGGCGTCTCAACTCTCCAGAGCCCAAGTCATGTAGAGAGCCAGCTCCTTCCTGGTCACATCCTGGAGCTTCCTGTGGCAGGTGCCCAGACATGAGCTGCCAGGTGGGCCCCACCCTGGGTGTGCTGCTGTGCAGGGAACCCTTCCATGTCCCCTGCTCGCACGGCTAGTTGCCTGCTGTCCTCGTCGGTACCGCCTCCACTGCCTCACAGGACCGAAGTGCCCGAGTCTCCCCAGCTGCAGGTACTTATGTTTGAAAGCAAATCTTTAAGCAGATGCTGCAGTTGTGTCTGGTCCAGGCCCTTGGGAGCCCATGCTCTGTGTTGGGATTGGGCGAACTGGGGCTTGGCTTTCTCCTGTGTCTGTCTCTTACAAGGCCACAAACAGACCCTCGCTGAATGGCCAAGACCAGACTGTTGTCAGACAAAGAACCTCCCCGGTGCTTCCTGTCCACTCGCCAGCGGCGCTCCGGGGAGCTGGCAGCAAGGGGGAGGGCGAGATTGTTGGAGGGAGGAGCGTGGAAGGGCATGGCCCCCTGAGCTCTGGCTGGTGTTGACTTTGCCTGTGGTCACCTTGGTCGCAGGAACCCTCACCCAGAATGAGATGGTGTTTAAGCGGCTGCACCTGGGCACGGTGTCCTACGGGACAGACACAATGGACGAGATCCAGAGCCACGTCGCCAGCTCCTACTCTCAGGTAAACGGCTGCCAAGTGCGCTGTGCTTCCTGAAGACCCAGCAGCATTGGGTCAAGTCAGTCGGTGAAGCAGGGCACGTCTGTGGTCACCTTGTTCCTCATGAGTGTGCTGTTGTCCTTGTCGGTTCTAACGGGTGAGCAAAGAAGCAGCTCGTGCAGAAACTTGTCTGTGCTAGTGTACTCAGAACATACTTACCCATGGAAGTTTACTTGATGAACACTGTGTAAACATTTCTGTAAACATGTCATTTTACAAAACAGTGCTTCCTAGGCTCCCCCATTTCGCCGTGGCGCGTCGGCCTCGGGGCGCTGCGGCAGTCTGCCCCTTTCCCTCAGAGGAGTGACGCCCAGCCACTGCATGAGAGCAGTAAGGACTCCGTCTTCTGAGGCCTCATGGGAGCTGCCTGCACCACAAGGCCAGGAGCCCAAGCTGCCACCTGGAGGGCCCACCATGTGCCTCAGCTCCTGGCCAGGTGGAGCGTATGTGTCATGTTTGCGTGCGCTGAGAGGGAGCGTGGCCCCAGCCCCCGCAGTGTTTGTGGCTCGTTCACTGGGAGTCCTTCGAATGGGAAGCCACTGGTTGCAGGAACCCTGGGATTCCGTGGCCTGTGCCGGGAGTGGACACTGTCCTAGGCGTCTCGTCTGCCAGTCCACTGGTGGTTAAACACACTGACCTGATACCCATGGCCACTACAGCTTAATGGGCCGTCCTGAACTCAAGGCCCGCGGGCATGCTGTGAGCTAACCGAGTCTGGTAGGCCTCCGTGTATGTGTGGTTGGGTCCAGCTGGATTCTGCCTAGCCAGGCTGGACTGCATCTTCCCTTGGCAGCTAGAGGAGCCTGAGCCCCACTGTCTGACAAGCCCTCTTCCTGTGCCACGGCTGCTGGGCTGACGTGCCCTTAATGGAATACGCTACTGCACCTGGCGCTTGTGAGCATTCACGGCCAAGCGCCTGTCAGCACAGGTGCAGTTCATGTCAACAGAGAACATTTTGAAAGCTGGAGCGTTTATTAACTGGAGAAAAAAATTGAACAGGGAGAAGGAATAAATCTTAAGCTTGCCTTCTCCAGAGTACGCTTAGATAAAAATTGTACCCAGTAGCATCCGTTTTCTGAAAAATGTTATATTACCTATAACATTCTTTAATAAAATATTTAATAAGATATTTTTAATGTCTCCAAATAAGTATTCTAGTAGGAAAAAAATAAAAACAGAAAGGGAAAAAATGCAACCCAAAAGCAACCAAAATGTCCCATTTGTTTCTGTTTGTTTGTGTGGTGTTTGTGCAGTTTGGTCACTCCTGTGCATCAGCCAGCCTCCCGGGCCTGTGCAGCTGAGCGTGACCCATCTCTGCCCTGTTTTCGGTGACAGCAGTAGGGTGGGCCTTGCGTACAGCACTGATGCTGCCCTTGTACCAGTGGCAGTGCCTGGGTTCCCCTCTGTTTCCACTCCAAGGCTGTGCCGGTGAGCACCCAGACGGGCACTCAGGTACTGCCCAGTGTGGGCATCGGGGAGTGAGCCAGTGCACGGCAGATGGCAGTCTCTCCGTCTCTGTCCGTGTCTTGCTTTTTCTCTATATGCCTTCACATTGGAAATAAGTGAAAGCTTTTCTACAGAGATGACAGTAGTCCCAGAGGCCCACTGTAACGTAGCACGGTTCTCTTGTAACCTGATTACATATTCCCACGGGAAGTCTTTGGTATGGGAGAAAGTATAGTCTTTAGTGGACTTTGTGAAATTAAATGATACAAGCACTGATCCACAGCGCAGTCCGAGGAGGTAACAAGCCAAGCGTCTGCTGCAGAGCGCGTTGGGCGCAGGAAGCAGGTGCGTGGGGCTCACTGCGAGGTAGTGCAGCTGAGCACCAAGCCAGCCTCTCCCTGACAGCTCTGTAATTACGGTATGAATTCCTGGTCAGTGAGTCTGCACACCCAGGCCAGACGCCAGCGCCCTGGTGTCTAAGGAGGACAGTTGTGGCCTGTTGAAGTTCTCCCACACCATCAGCAGGAGAAGGTAGTGAGGAAGGTATGTCGCTTTGAGACACAGCAGAGCCTGATGGGCACACAGCACCCGCCAGCACAGAGCAGACACTGCTGCTGGAGACAGCAGCTCCTATAAGGGGCCTGGGTTCCTCCTTTCGCTGCACACCTCACTGTCCAGGTTCAAGTGTGGTCACAAGGGGGCGCTGCAGCTGTGCTGCAGCTATACCCTGTTTGGGGCAGAAACTGAGCATAGTGCAAAATCCTTGCACAGCTTTTTCTTAAATTATTCTGTGTTGGGGAAGTAATGTTTAAGGAGTTCTTAGAAAGAAAGAGTCAGATGTAAACTATTACAGCAGATGCTACAGTGTATGTGACGTTTTGGAATTGTCAGAATGCTCCGAGTATTAAGGTAAAGAAATGACTCCGCTGAGCAGACTGTGTAGATCATCAGAATCACAACCAGCACCCTGTCTTACCATCACGTGCAGCCTGTGAGCATCTCGCAGGTGAGTCACGCCGCTCCTGGTGGCTGCCCGTGTCCCCCAGGTGCATCCTCCAGCTGCTGGGAGCAGTGCCGGCCCAGCTCCCCTGAGAAGAGCGCAGTCTTCCGCCCCCAAGATCAGAAAGAGCGTCAGCAGTCGGATCCACGAGGCGGTGAAGGCCCTGGCTCTGTGCCACAACGTGACCCCTGTGTATGAGTCCCGGGCTGGAGTCACCGGGGAGACAGAGTCTGCCGAAGCTGACCAAGACTTCAGCGACGAGAACCGCACCTACCAGGCGTCCAGCCCTGACGAGGTCAGTTCGTGTTTGCTGGAGGATCACCCCGTGCCTGCTCTGTGTGGCTCTGTGTCCTGGGACGCTGCCTGTGTGGACGCTGAGTTTCTCAGTGCCAGCTCCTCAGCCCCCAGCAGCTGGTGTCTAGGGTGAGGCCAGCCTGGTGTGGTCCCTCAGGTGCGCCATCCAGGGTTTTCTCCACGCCACGTCATACAACTTAGATTTCCATGTATTTTGTCAGTGTTTATTTTTTTTAAAGATTTATTTTTATTATTTTTTTATTGGAAAGGCGGATATACAGAGAGGAGAGACAGAAAGGAAGATCTTCCGTCCGATGATTCACTCCCCAAGTGAGCGCAACGGCCGATGCTATGCCGGTCCAAAGCCAGGAGACTCTTCCGGGTCTCCCACGTGGGTGCAGGGTCCCAAAGCTTTGGGCCGTGCTTGACTGCCTTCCCGGGCCACAGGCAGGGAGCTGGAAGGGAAATGGGGCCGCCGGGATAGACCCGGCGCCCATATGGGATCCCTCATGCAAGGCGAGGACCTTAACCACTTGCGCCACCGCGCTGGGCCCTTTTGTCAGTGTTTATAAGCAAGGTACTATTTTAAAAGAGAAGTAGTTTGTAAATACTTTCAAACATGTAAAGTCTTGGCTATGATATATTAGTCCTTTGCATAGATGGGGCCTTGGGCACGGGGCGAGGCAGTGGTCAGCGTCAGGCCCTGCTCATGAAGCCCACGACCGGCTCTCTCCTGCAGGGATGCTAACGTAGTTGGCAGATTGGGAGTGGAGAATCTCTGCTTGCCCTGACCGGCTATTCCAGTGTGCAAGGCCTCACATCATATCCCAGAAATGCACAAATGCTGTGTTAACTTTTAGAATTTCTTTTAATAAAAACCAAGGAAAGATGAGTCGCTGCAGGATGCCTTGCTCCCTAGAACCTTCCTCCCCCCTGCTCCCCCCCCCACTGTACTCTGGGTGTCTGAAGGGGTACAAAGGGTGTCTGTCCAGCACCTCCGTGCACAGCCATGGTCACTCAAAGCTTGCAGGGTCATGGGTGAGAGCAAGCCAGCCACATGCCCTCCAGTCCAGAAGGGAGCTGGTGCATTTAGGTTTGTAGAAAATGACACAAAAGACCTAAATGCAGAAGTGAGGCTGTGTGAGCCAGAGTCAAGTCTTTTTGACATTTTGTTGGTAGGCTAAGTCCACAGAGCTTCACACAGATGCTCTCCAAACATGACCTGTGACTATCAGCAAGGACACTGAGGTTTTAGGAGATATTGTGCTGGCTCAAAGTCTGGAACTCTGTTGTAGCCTTCATCCTAGAACCAGAACCATCAGTGGCTTCTCTGCAGAGTGGGAACCCACCATGTGCGACGACTAAGGGACAGACGAGACCAGGATCAGCCTGGCACAGGACAGGTTTGAGGTTTCAAAGTCTAAGTAGGGTACTGTCCTGGTTCAGACTGCAGTCGGGTGGAGGCAGCGTCAGGAGAGGTGTGAGCACCGGGGTCCCACAGAGCAGTGTGGACCCTGGGAGAAGGCTGCCATGCTGGTGCTGACTCGCAGAGATGTATTCTCTGTGTGTGGCATACGCGTGACTAACGTCAAGACAAACTTGTTTTCAGAAAATGCTTCTCCGTGTAAAACATTACTCAGGAATCCTTCACTTCAAAATATACTCTCCTGTTTTCACAAGCCGTAGATCACTGTGACTAAGAACCACTGTGGGGTTCCACGTCAGCCATGTCCCACGTTGCAGAGAGGGGAGTCAGGCCAGACAGGTGAGACTGGTATGTTACCTGCCTTTCCCAGAGCAGCGTGCCAACTGGCTGCTCAGGCCCAGTCTCTTCTCTTAGGAAAACTGCGAGATTGAAATCTGTCCTCTCCTGGAGTCCCCTACAACCTAGAAACCCTGCCCACACTTGTCCTCCCTTTTGAGGACTAGGTGACATGGGTGGGGAGGCCCTTCCAGAGCTGGAAGATAGACCATGCAGGTGCGTCAGTGACCCAGAAGGGCCTGCTGAAGGACTTTGGTGGCTCACTGTGACATGGTGTCCGATGTGCAAGCACCTGCAATGCCGTGTGTCTTCTGAGTTTGTCTTGCTGGCCCCCAGGTCGCACTGGTGCAGTGGACGGAGAGCGTTGGGCTCACTCTGGTCAGCAGAGACCTCACCTCCATGCAGCTGAGGACGCCGAGCGGCCAGGTCCTGACCTTCTGCATCCTGCAGATGTTCCCCTTCACCTCTGAGAGCAAGCGCATGGGCGTCATTGTCCGGGTAGGTGTGCGACCCGCCCACAACCCACACCGCCTGTTCCAGCATTTATGTGCTGTGCTGTTTCTTAAGATGTGTTTATTTAATAGAGAGAGGGAGAAGCAAATCTTCTGTCTGCTGCTTCACTCCTAGGCAGCTGCAATGGCCAGGGTTGGGCCAGTTTGAAGCCAGGCCAGGAGCCTCTTCTGGATCTCTTACCTGGGTGCAGAGGCCCAAAGGTCTGGACCATCTACCACTGTTTTCCCAGGCCATCAGCAGAAAAACCATGACATGAACTCATGCCCACGTGGGAAGCCAGCATTGCAGGTGGCATCTGCAGTGCTCCTGGTTGCTAAAAGGCTGAGTAACAGAGAGGGAGACATGGCGCTTCCCTCCCGTCAGGTCATTCCTCACATGTCCAGAGTGTCTGGGTCTTGGCCCAGCCAAGCCAGGAAGCAGGAACTCCACCCAGGTCCCACATGGCTGGCAGGGATCCAAGGGCAGGAAACTTTTTAGCATTTGGTAGATCCAAAATTTTCTCGAGAGAACAGTTAAACATCTACTCAAATGTGGTATATTTATTGCAGTTTTTTTTTTTTTAAGAAAATCTAGTAATTTGTAAGTGAGAATCTAAGACAAAAAAAAAAATCTAATTCTATAAAGAAACGCCTCCATCTACGAAAGGAGGAAGAAATGAATTGTGTTGTTACTAACTTTTGGAATCAACTGAAGCTGTTTTGTTTCATCTTCCACCGAAGTAGAGGCCAACCAGCTTCACTGAGTGATCCATGATCATGAAATTGCTACAGGATACTGCTATTAAACTTTGTTTAAGCAAACACCAGAAATTTATTTTGGAATTGGGCTAATCAGTGAAGCATTCAGTCCAACAAAAAGTGTAAGCTGCTTGCATTGCAGCTTAAGTTTATCCATTAACAAATTCATTTCAAAAACTTGGAATGTAGCATTGCAAAGTAAATGGTATGTTTCCTGATGTCCTCAGCACGGAGGGAGTGCCTTCACCAAAGTGGCTTTTCTACCAGGGAGCAGTATTTCAAGAGCCACCCCCCAACACGTCCCTGTTTCTGCTGTGTTGCAGGATGAGGCCACCGCAGAGGTCACCTTCTACATGAAAGGTGCAGATGCCGCCATGGCCGCCATCGTCCAGTACAACGACTGGCTGGAAGAGGAGGTGAGAGGCTGGCGCTCCCAAGGGCAGGTGTTTTGTCACGTGTGTTGGCCAGGGCGCAGGAAAGCTGCCTTCCCAACCTGGAGGCACGGCTGTCATGGCCGTAAATCGACCTGTCAGTATTTCAAACCAGGAAGAAATTGATTACCAAAAACAGTGTCACTTTCCACTAAATTATTTTAACTACATAGAGATTTTTCAGTTCCATGGAGCATAGGGACAGAAGTCATGTTTATTTGTGACTAGCTTATGTCCTAAATAAATACCTATTAGTTTTTCTGTGTAATCACATTGCAGGTATGTTCAAATAAATCCTTACTGAAGAATCTTTTATTTAGAATAGTAAAAGTATAGAAATTCATTGAAGAATTCTGAATACTCAATATTGTACATATAACCAAGATTATATTATATAGTAGCTGAAATATTTGCAAAGTGGCTTTAATTAAAATTTTAATGAAGTGTTAATTTGTATGTAGGATTTACTTAAAAATCAAAATAAATTACAAATATAACCAAGTAACAAATATGATCTGTGCCCTCTGCACTGATTTTCCCTAACAGATGTGACCTGTGGCCTCTTCTTGAGACCATCTTCTGTAGGTGTGTGGCCGTCAGCGCTTGGATTTCTGAGTCAAACTAGAACCAGCCACAGTCACAAACAGGACAACCTGCTGTTGCTCAGGTGTTCATGGTGGTCAGAGACACCCTGACCGTTCACCTGCCACACTCTCACACTCCCCGTGGTTCTGGCAGCATGAATCAATATCTCCCTTAGGGCACTGTGATTTTAATCAGGGATGTTGATGAATTATACTTCCATTGACCTACTAAAATGCCATAAAATTACTTCTGGTCATAATGTACAATTACTTGAAAAATATTTATTTAGCTCTATGAGGTCAAATCAATAAATGTCTTACAACAGACAGATACGGTCAGATTGGTTTTCACGAAGATGACTATTAAAAACCCATGGACGCTATGTTTTCAACTTGCATTTTGTCTTCAAAGCTAGATCTTGTGGTTTTAAAAGCTTTGTGGTCTGATGGGCTCTTGCTGGGAGCAGCCAGCAGGGCAGTTCTGCGTACCCTGCCTGTGCCTAGGTCCCTCAGTGCTGCCTCATGTCCCAGGGAGAGCTGAATTCAGAAGCCCACAGCCAGGATCAGGCCTCCAGCAAGGAAGTAGGTGGGATGTGGCTGTGCTGACCCCTGCCCGCTAAGGCCTGTGATGACGTGCTGCTCAGGGCCTGCCAGAGGCATCCTCAGCCACCGTCCCTGTGAATCTCCAATTTCATGGCACACAGCAGAGCTTGCCTCAGGGCTGGACAGCTTGGGTGTCCCACAGCTCTGAGTAGCTGCCCAGTTCTGTTTACCTGCAGACCAATAGCACCGAAGGGCCTTCTGGGACATTCGTATGAGGAGTTGATGAGATGTTTGCTGTAGCTTTGTAGCATGGCCGACACAGTGAGCACAGCTGATGTGAGAGAGGGAGCCCGGGTGACGTGAGGGATCCCGGGTGACGTGAGGGATCCCGGGTGACGTGAGGGAGCCCGGGTGACGTGAGGGAGCCTGGGTGACGAGAGGGAGCCTGACTGATATTGGGGGAGTCTAGTCAATGTGCCAGAGTGGTTTCTCTCACCAAAGTGCAGTTGACTTTGATAGGAGACGTGGTTACCTCCAGCAGAAAGCCTGACTTCATCCTCGTCCAGCCTAACTGGACTTCTGCATCTCACAGAGATGAATACTCGGTGCTGTGTGAGCAGAGTTGACAGTTTGTAGAGGTGTTTTCATATTCTCCATGACGTTCCCGTCGGGTCTCATGATGCTCCCGGCTCCCCCATCTGCACAGCAGGAGCCAAGCCCCACTACCCGCTAAGCTCTGGGTTCTGACCCTGGTTCCTGCCAGCCTTAGCTGGCACCACTGTGTTTGCCTGTGTCTTGCTGGGTGTGCCCACCGTGGCCAGCAAAGAGGAATCAGAGCAGAGCAGTGAGGAGAGCTCAGAACGCACAGAGGAAGCGTGTGTTAGAGACAGGAGCCCAGCTCTCAGTCACTGAGCTGTGCCCACGTAAGGCCTCCGTGCCAGCGGTGTCTCCGTCCCACCACTGCCACCTTCCTGTTTGTTGCTGCAGGCAGCCTGGTGCCCACCCCAGGAGAAGGTGGGGGATTCTGCTGTCTCTTAAGCTGTGACCTCACAAAAGCAGTGAGAGTGTGACTGTCATGGGGTCAGGCGGCACCGAATAGTCACTTCAGTACATAAGCACAGGATCAAGAGTGTGTCTGGGGCCACTATTGTGGCACCACAGAGTAAGCTGCCCCTTGCCACACAAACATCTCCTACCAGAGCCTGAGTTCTATCCTGGCTACCCGCCGGTGCATCTGGGGAACCAGTAGTTGGTGGCCCATGTACTTGGAGCCCCGCCGTCTGTGTGTGAGATCAAGCTGTCTGGCAGCACATATGTCTGAAAGTGGATGTGACACCTAGGGAACTCAGTGTGTTGGTGAATGGCAACTTGCCAAAGGAGCAGCACAGGTCTTCCAGTGCCAAAACGACTCCGGCTGCAGCCTGACCCACCCCTGGCCACATGGACACACGGGGACTGAAGCTGCAGATGGAAGGTCTCTGTCACTCTCCCTTCCAGTAAACAAATCTTACCGAAAGGAAAAGGAGGAGAGCCTCCTTCCTGCCTCTTCCTCAGGGATGGGCAGCTGTGCAGTGATGTCCAGACCCTCCTGGTGCAGCTCACAGGGCGACTCGGAGAACCCCACAGGCCTTGAATTGCCAGCAAGGCTGGGAGGGCCGTGTGTATCTGCCATGCAGGACCACCAATAACTCCCCTCTCTCCCACAGTGTGGGAACATGGCGCGTGAAGGGCTGCGCACCCTCGTGGTGGCCAGGAGGGTGCTGACAGAGGAGCAGTATCAAGACTTTGAGGTGAGCCAGTCCCCCACATACCTGCCCTGCACAACCTGTGCTTTCCTTGTGAGTCTGGGTCTGTTTCCATGTCACTTTTAGTTAGGTCAGAGCCATCGCAGTGTAAGATAAAGGCAGCACTGCCAAAGTGGCCCTGGGAGGAGTCCTCCAGCCCATCCTGCACCTGCTGCGTCAGAGCCTCGAAGAGCACAGCCCTCAGTCCTCACACGCGCACACAGACGTGCACATGCATGTCTCCCTGCCTCCCCAAAGCATGCACTGTCCACCTCTCTGGGACTCACAGAATGGACACGCATGCACACGAATGTGTCTGTGTCCACAGAGCAGATACACTCAGGCCAAGCTGAGTGTCCATGACAGGGCACTGAAGGTGGCTGCAGTGGTGGAGAGCCTGGAGCGAGAGATGGAGCTGCTGTGCCTGACAGGCGTGGAAGACCAGCTGCAAGCTGATGTGCGGCCCACCTTGGAGATGCTGCGGAACGCGGGCATCAAGGTGCAGTATTGTAGCTCTGAGCCCCAGTCCTTCTCTCACTCACTCAGGCTGCACAGAGCAGGGGTGTGGGAACACTTGGTCCCTCGTACCCTTCTCTGCCCCAGCCCCCACAGCCTTCTGTGCATGCCTGTCATTGTCACCCCAGCCCCGTGCCTGTCGAGCCAGCCTCCTCTTGCACTTCCCACCCCATCCTTCCCATGTTCCGCAGGGGTAGCTTCCATGTGCTCCCCTACCCATTCACTCCAAGCAGGGTCCCCCATCCTTGGGTGCCAGGGTGTACCCAGGATCACTGGCAGGCTGTGCACATTGGGGCAGAGTACGAGAATCCAGGCCGCCCAGGCTGTTGTTTTGATCTTGTGGTTTTTGATGTCTTGCGTTGACAGAAGTGGGTGTTGGGATGCTGGGGTTGCCTCCAGCCCTAGTCAACTCATTGTCAGGTGAGTGCTTCTTAACAGAATGTGAGCTGGCTCCCAGGCCCAGGACCCCCAAGACACGTGCTGGTTGGAAGCTACAAGTCAGCCTGTGGGCAGGTGTGGGTACTTACTGCATCCTTTGCTGAATTGTGGCTCTTGGAGGTTTCTGTGCACTTACTCTGATAAAGCCAGAAGCCTACCTGCCCCCACACACCTTGCTGCTCCTGGCGGCTCTTAGCCCTTGGGAGCAGGTCACACGTGTGATTCATCAAGGAGAATGAGGGTGTTAGCTTAGAGGGAGGGTGGGCATAGAAGTTCTTGCTCCGTCTGCTGCACTCCCTTCAGGCTCTTAAATCCACTAGCGTGAACATGTATCATGCTAATCGAAGAGGTGAGGAGAGCCATGGGGACACCCCTAAGGCAGAAGCCCGTGAGGACTTTTGTTCACTTTCTCTGGAAAGGTGTCTTTATGAACGTTACATGAGAAATCGGAGAAACTCAGACAGTCCCAGGAATATTACCAGAAGGTTTTGTCCCCTTAGGTAAAGCAAGTACAAACACACTGGTGAATATCTTATTTCTTTTTCTCTTTATAGTCCAGGGATATACCCACAATGTGAGCCTGTAAATGCAAAAGCTATGTTTTATGAGGTAGCAACAACTTCTGGCCCCAAGCTCTGAACCTGTTTCTAGATGAAAGCCACCAAGTTGGAGGTCAGGCCTCCCACGCCCTGGCTCGGGGTGCTGCATCGTTAAGGTGTTGGCCATCATGGGTGGTTTTGTCCTTAATGTCCCCATTCGCTGCCACCAGACCTGTAGGGACTGCCCGCCACCCCTTTCCTCTGTCTGAGTGCATGCAGCAGTTGGTGTCATGCGGACGTGGGGTACCACAGCGCTGACCATTTCATCCACAGCTCGGCATCGAGCTGAACACATAGAGTGCATCCACAGTACCGTGCAGCCTTCACCTCCGTCCCCAGTCACAGTGACTGCCCACTAGTCCTGGGCACTCCTGCTACTCTTGTGGGGTTCCATGGCTGTGTCCTCCACTGAGTCCCACATGCTCCGTGGAGGTGCCTCCTCCCCGGCTGGGACCGAGTCCCCTTCCTCTGCAGCCCTGAGTGCTGCCACAGAGGGGAGCGCAGGTGCATCTGTCCATGCATGTGCCTGGCCCCCTAGGCTGCTGGGAACAAGTGTGGGCGGTGTCTGTGAGGGTGAGGCTCTTGGAAGGGCGGGGCCTGGGCTAGGACTATGAAGGTCACCCTGTGAATTTGTCACAGATATGGATGCTAACGGGCGATAAACTTGAAACGGCGACCTGCATTGCCAAAAGTTCACATTTGGTATCTAGAACACAAGACATCCATGTTTTCAGACCAGTAAGTATGTACCTACATCACTTTGAATGTTTACATGCTTTGTCTCACAACTGAAGTATGCAAGCACTTGCAGATCCAGACTAGAAGCCTTTATAGCAAGGAGCACTGTGGTGGTTTCCTTACTTTAAAAATATGTTAAGAATAAATGGGCATATACATATAAGCGTGTACACATATACATGTGCATGTATATATACATAAACATATACACTAGAGAGTGTATATATATGTGGCAAGGATCAGTCCATGTCTGCTGCGCATCTACAGGAAGCCCTGACCCGAGAGTCCACTGGAGCACAGTCACCCATTCGGGTCCTGCAGACGACCATTTGCAGTGGAGTTACAGATGCTCTGGTCATACTCTGGCTCACTTGTGTCAGGTTTTTGGTGTTATGGCACCACACATTAACAATACAGGGCAGTGCTGTAAAACAGTGGGTGAAGCCGCCTGCTGCACTTCCAGCATTCCCATGAGCGCCAATTCAAGTTGCAGCTCTGCCTCAGGGCCTATGGAAGCAGTGAAGGGGCGGGGCCCCTGGCTCACGGAGCCCCAGCTTAAGCTCCTTGGGGGAGGGCAGCAGTGTGTGGCAGGTCTCTTGTCTCCCCCCTCCCTGTACTGCCTCATTTCAAATAAATAAGCATGAATTATATGTTTTAAATTACTTTTTCACGGTTCAGTCTTTCTGGTCACAGATGGCAGTGTGGGCCACTTGGGCTTTGACCTGCTGTTTCAGTCTGGAGTGTTTTCTCCTTCCTGGTCACAGGACAGCATCTGTCCTTATGCGAAGATGATGACTTCTAAGAAACATACATTTATCTATATATACACACATATGTGTATGGATGTATGCATTTGAAAGGCAGAGTGGCTGAGAGATCTTTCATCTGCTGGTTCACTCCCCAAGATGCCACAGTGTCTGAAACAAGGCCAGACCAGAGCCAGAAACCTGGAGTTCCATTCAGGTTTCACATGCGGGTCTAGGGGCCCGGTGTCTGGGCCACCGTCTGCTGCCTCCCCAGGTGCATTGTGGAGGACTGGGTTGGACAAAGTGGAGCAGCTGGGGCTGAAATTGGCACTCTGCTGTGCTTGTGAGCTATAGCCCAACTCCCATGCCACAAAACGTTGGCCCAAGACCATTCCTTCTCTCAACTGACACGGAGCAGTGCGGCGCTCAGCATGCAGTGGCTCACCCATCCTTCAGACTCTGGGTGTCAGCACCACGTCAGCCCTGTCCTGCCCCAGCCCATGGGTCTATGTAGAGCTGGCCGCCTGCAGAGCACAGGGAGACTGCATTCATTATGGCCGAGAGTGAACTGGTGCATGCAGGAGCCGATCCCTCGGGCCCTCTGCCAAGTGCCCTCTCGCAGGCCCTGTGAGCAGGACCATCCCCAGCCCATGGCAGGGTTGGATGGAAAGGGCCGCATCAGGTAACAGTTCCAGACATTCTGGTTCTGATTGCTCGTAGTGCGTCCTCCAAGGGCGCTTCAACACCTCCATAGACGCACAGGGCTGGAAGGTCCATTTCAGGGCAGATGTTCGGTTAGCGGCTTAGACACATCCATGTAGGCTCCCAGGCCCAGCTTCCTGCCAGTGCATTGGGAGATAGCAGGGATGACTCGGGGACAGTCCGGGCCACCCCTGCAGGACACCCTGCCCGAGATCGCCGCCTGGCTCTGCTCCTTGCCGCCAGTGGGCAGGGTGAGGCGATAGTTGTACAATGCTCTCCACCTCTCAAAAGTAAAGCTGTACGATGCAAAAGCATTTGGAAGCCTGCACATGGTTTTGTCATAGTACAGTTTCATAACTCTGAAGGTCCCTTCTGTTCATGGATTTCAATTTTTTTTACACCAACATGAACTTCATTTAACTTTGTTTTCCGCCAACTTTGAAGTTTCCTGGTATTTGTCTGTTACTGCTAACAGATGGCATTTTAACAGTGGCCCTTCTCTGCAAAGGTGGCCAGTCGGGGAGAGGCCCATCTGGAGCTGAACGCGTTCAGGAGGAAGCATGACTGTGCACTGGTCATTTCCGGGGATTCGCTGGAGGTGAGCAGCCTGTGCGGAGGTGCGGGCAGCGCGGGCCCCTGCGGTTTCAGGCCAGTTTGGAGCCGGACAGGTCCCAGGCAGCACGCCCCACATGTCTTGCTGTCTGACCTATGGTACCTCAGCCCCCTGCCCCACACACCTCGTGCCCTGGCACACCTCATGCTCTGCGTTCCTCAGTCTCAGCTGCTGCGCCAGGTTTGTGCCCTCCATGTGCCTATGGGCCAGATGGGCAGCACCTCAGAGCCTGACAAGGCTCCGAGACGCACCCAGAGACACCACGTGCAGCTGACCCTCGAGGGTCGCAGGCTCCAGGCTCCTTGTTCCCCGTTGCCTCTGTGGGTCTGGCCTGGGGTGGGGGACACTGCTCACCTGGGCCTTCCTGCCCACTGACCCAAGTGAAGCTTCCTCACCAGCCGGATGGACCAGGATGGGGGACTTTGTGACAACACCCATGTTCTGCCTGATGCCTGTGCTGCTCGGTCATGCACATCATGTGTGGGCGGCCTCGGCAGGAGGAAGCACAGTCCTGTGTCAACACTGGGTTCTGTCCAGTGGCACTTAAGTCGTCCCATCTGCCTGTTCTGGTAAAGTCTTTGCAATGGCAAGGCAGGTGGCAGCCCTTGCGTGGTGGCTGGGAGAAGTGCTGCTCCTGGCCACTGCTTGAACCCTCAGTCTCCTGTCAGCCTCACCCTGGGGCTGCTTGGTCTGTCTCCAGCACGCGGTATTGGTGTCTGTCCTCTGCGTGAGTGCACATGTGTGTATGCAGGCTGATGTAATGGGCACTGTGCTGCAGGTGTGTCTCAGGTATTATCAGCACGAGTTCGTGGAGCTGGCTTGCCAGTGCCCCGCTGTGGTGTGCTGCCGCTGCTCGCCCACACAGAAGGCCCACGTCGTGAAGCTGCTGCAGCAGCACACAGGAAAGCGCACGTGTGCTGTCGGTGAGCAGGCTTGGCCACTTCCCTGGGGTTCGCAGGTAGAACTTCTCCTGCCACTGCCAAACCCAACGGCCTCTAGTGACAAGAAAGGGGAGTGTGAGGTCGGTCACTGTGCGTCCAGGTAGGCCGCGGCTTGGAGTTGCACGGTTAGCATTGGAGCACCTGTCGGATCCTGGCTGTCACTCTTCTGATCCAGGGACTTGGGCCCCTGCCACCCCTTGGAAGCCCCAGGTGGGACTCATGGCTCCTGAGGTGGCCTGGCCCAGCTGCAGCTTTGCGGAGCCTTTGGGGAAGAGAGACGTGCAGGGGGCTGCAGTGGCAGACTGATGCTCCCGTGCTCCCCAGGTGACGGAGGGAATGACGTGAGCATGATCCAGGCAGCCGACTGCGGCATCGGGATTGAAGGCAAGGTGGGTTATCCGCACACCGAGTGGCACGTGCATGGTGGCGCACAGTCAGCAGTGATCCGGAGCACCCAGCGCCCCTGCTCACCCAGCATGCCCGTCCCATTGCCCAGCTTCTCACCCCAGCTGCACACAGCTTCTGTGTTGAGAGTGTGGTTCTCTGCGGGCCTCTGTGCTGCACGGGGGTCTCCTGAGCCCGCATCCATGGTATGAGCCCTGTGCTGTCCGTGCTGTCCTCCTGGTCTCAGCCTACAGGCACTAAAAGACCTGAAAGTCCAGCATGATTCGAGTTATGTGTTTTCTCTGGCACCTCAAGAACAAGAAGAGAGATTGTCATTGAAAATCTGAGATAACTTATGTGTAGGCAGCTGTGCCTGTCGCTGGCACCAGACTGCCTCTTGGCCACCAAGGCATTGCTGATGCCAGAACCCCTGTGTCCACACTCAGGGCCATGGGGTGGCTTCCTACAACCCAGTGTCATGGGCCTATGTGGGTGACAAGAACCCCACTCCCACACAGCCCAACCTCTGCTGGGTGTCCCAGCGCACTCACACCTGCCTGTTCTCCTGGGCCTGCAGGAAGGGAGGCAGGCCTCACTGGCCGCGGACTTCTCCATTACCCAGTTCCAGCACATCGGCAGGCTGCTCGTGGTGCACGGCCGGAACAGCTACAAGCGTTCAGCTGCCCTTGGCCAGTTTGTCATGCACCGTGGCCTCATCATCTCCACCATGCAGGTACGCCCATCCCTTGAGCTGCTCTAGGGGATGCTGCCCACCAGGCCCACTGAGGCACCTACCCAGGCAGCAGGATCCAGGTCCCCAGCGGCTGCTGTCTTACTGATCCACGCCATTCTCTTTGCAGGCTGTGTTTTCTTCCGTCTTCTACTTTGCGTCTGTTCCCTTGTACCAGGGCTTCCTCATGGTGGGGTAGGTTCCCTTCACTACTTCCTGTCCCTTGGAGTCTTTTAGAAGAGAGCTTTCATTTTGAAGTGCGTGTATCTGCTACTCAGTGATGATCTGGGTAGTTCCTCATTACCAATGGTCAGCGCTGGGATGCACGGTGTTCTGCTTGTTGATATTATGGCAGTCCATGCACCAGGCAGTTTCTCACTTGGTTCATCATGAAGAGGCTGTCATTTGTGTCAAAAAACACTGTCAGGGCTAAGGTTTACAAATGATCCCACCATGGAGCCAAGCCAGGGCATGCTGGGCCCTTGTCGCCCCGGAGGCTGCCCTGACCAGTGGTGTCATGACTCCTGGGCACAGCTGCTCCGTGTGAGCAGAGAGGTTGGCCAAAGCTTGGGTGATGTCCCTCATTCCCAGATGGGCCTCCGGGTCGCACATGGCCACCACCAGAATGGTGGGCTGTTCACAGATGTCGTCAGATGTTGAAGCAGTTCTGTCAAGGCGAGTACACTGGTGTTTCCTGTCTGCACATCCAGTTGCTTGTGCGCAAATATGTAAGTAGCATGGCTGTTGGTGTGGCCTGAGAATAGCCATGCTGGCTAGCCGGCCATGCTGAGCTCCCACTCACATGGAACAGACCAACAGCCATGAGCCCCCCAGAGAATAACTCACCACTCAGCATGGGCACTGACAATGCACCATCCACCTGTCCCCAGGCCACCAGCTCCTGCCCTCCTCCCCCAAGAAATGTCCCTGTCATCACAGGGGCTTCCCTGTCTGCTCCATCACACCCAGCACACAGTAGGAGACACAGTTCTTGGCTGGCACTTGGTCATATCCATGTGTGCAGTCCCTGCATCTCCTTGCTAGCGACCTGTGTAACTGAGAGCGTGAGCTACAGCTGTCAGGTGGTTTCTTCAGGGAGCCAAGCAGGGCCAGCAGTTTCCTAAGCCATGGAGCCCTGGGGGGAGTGCAGTCAGGGGTGCATTTATGCTTCCGGCCAAAGAAACTCGAACATGTAATCAGCGGACGTGAGCGTCCGTGGCCACAAGGACTGTGGTGATTCAGCTCTGAGCAGCCTCCTGGGAACCCTGGCAAGGTAAAGAGTGAGGGACGGACCACGTGCGCCTCATCAGAATGACGCTCTACTCTTCAAGGACCAGGGATGCGTAGGCTGCCACTCAGGCCACCCATGCTCTCTGTCCCAGGGGCAGGGCCCAGTCCCAGCTCCACTCTGAGTCCAAGCTTTTTCTGATGCAGACCCTGGAAGGCAGCACTTGATGGCGCAAGTGTGGCCAACCCAGCCAATAAGCTGATAGATGGAAGCTCTCATCCTGTCTCTGCCTCCCAAGTCAATAGAAAAATGTGGTTTGAAAATATGCAAAAACATAATTGAGACGAAACAAAAAGGCATATGGAGAGGTCATATTAATTATGCAAGTATCTGGGGCCTGGTGCAATGGCTTAGTGGCTAAATCTTTGCTCTACATGAGCTGGATCCCATATGGGTACCAGTTCTAATCCTGGCAGCTCCACTTCCCATCCAGCTCTCTGCTTGTGGCCTTGGGAGGCAGCAGAGGACGGCCCAAGGCCTTGGGACTCTGCAGTCACATGGGTAGCCAAGAAGAGGTTTCTAGCACCTGGCTTTAAATCAGCTTAGCTCTGGACATTGTGGCCACTTGAGAAGTGAACCAGCAGACAGATCTTTCTCTGTGTCTATCCTTCTCGGTGTAAATCTGCCTTTCTAATAAAAAGAAAATATTTTTAAAAATGTAAATACTAGTTTGGTTTTGGAACTTTTAATGGCCTTCTCGAAGGCTTTAAGTTAGAAGGACGGCCAGTGGGGCTCATGGGGATCATGTCACCCCATTAGCTACCAGCAGATGTCACTGTAAGCACAGCCTACGTTGCCCAGCTGTCCTAGGAGAGCTCCAGAACTCAGCCTCACCCAGCAGTCTGCCTCCGTGCTCATAGCTGTGTTTCTAATACCCAAAACTAGAGAAACCCAGATGGCCACTAATGAGTGGACGGAGGTCCAAGCCAGATTACAGGATTACATCCATTGCGAAATACAAGTTGCCCAGTTCAAAGAGCCGAGGACACATAAAGCAGGATGGGCAAGTCTCGAATGCCTCATGCCCCAAGAACATGTACCTCCGTCCCTGTGCCATGAGAGCCTGTTTACATGGGAGACCACATCCCCTGCTGCAGGGCCACAGGAGTCTGTCGGGCTATGCAGGTCACGGGTCACCAGTGTGTCCTACAACAGTGGCCCAGCATGATCCCTTGCAGTGCTGCTCATGAACCACACATGAGACAAGTGAAGCCCCACGCACGGTGCCCGGACTCCTGTTGGCATCGTGCTGGCATGAGCTTGCTGGCTTGCACGGTGGCTGGCCCTGTTAAGTTACTGAATTCCAAGGCAGAGGGGAGAGTTGTTCCAAGAAAATCAGCCCAAGTGGGCCCAGCATAATGGCTCAGTGGTCCCACATGGGTGCCAGGATCCCATATGGATGCTGGTTCTAATCCTGGCTGCTCCACTTCCCATCCAGCTCACTGCTTGTGGCCTGGGAAGACAGTAGAGGACAGCCCAAAGCCTTGGCACCCTGCACCCACATGGGAGATCCGGAGGAAGCTCCAGGCTCTGGCTTCAGATCAGCACAGCTCCAGCCATTGCAGCCACTTGGGGAGTGAACCAGTGGACAGAGGATATTTTCTCTCTATCTCTCCTGTCCATAAATGTGATGTGCCTCTCCAATAAAAGTAAATAAATCTTTTTAAAAATGAAACAGAAGTAACTGAAGAGTTGGACCAACTTTGAGAACATTATGCAGATTTAACCTAACGCAGAAGATGAAGCTGAGTTCAAAGGAGGAGCAGAACGTTGTTTGATTCAGACTCTTTGGCCACAAGACCTGAGTGTGTTGATCTTGTGACTTGGAACTCCCCTGTGGAGTGTGGCCCTTGGCTGGGCCTGGGTCTGTCTGCAGGACAGCCTGACATCCTGGTCCTGGTCCCTGGCTCTCTGCCACTGAGCGAGTGAAGATAGAATTCCTAAACCCGGTAGCTTCTAGCAAGAGGCCCAGATGTTCTCCCTGTTCGTTGAGCACACTCGGAGCCCACAGATCCAGTGAGCGGTAAACACCAGCGCAGCCCACGGTGTCCAGCTGCAGCCTGTGGCAGCTAACCTACCACTGCCCCGACCTCAGCACCCACGGGGGAGGGCCAGCACCCACAGGGGGAGGGCCAGTGCCGTCTCCCCCAGTGGAGCAGCATCAGGAGCCACAAGTGAAGTACACAGGTGTGTCCAGTCAGCCCAAGACCACAGAGGCCCCTAACATGGCAGAGAGGGACTCCAGGGCAGACCAGAGCGGCGGGCGTCCTCGAGATGGGGGGAGTACAGTGAGCAGGCCCAGCAGAGGAGAGGCAACCAGGGAAGGACAAGGCAGCAAACACCTGGACATGGGGCCGGTGCAGATGCAGCCACTCCACACCGTCCAGCCACCCGCTTATATCCTAGAGAACAGTGGAGGACAGCCCAGGTCTATGGGCTCCCTGTACCCATGTGGGGGACCTGGCTTCAGGCTCACCCACCTCGCCATTGCAGCCATTTGGGAAGCAAAACAGCAGACAGAACACCTCTCTCTGTCTCTCGGCAATCCTGACTTTCAAGTAAAATAAATAAAAATCTTAAGAGAAAAAAACAAACAAAAAACGAGCATAGGAGCTGAGCATGGCCACTGGTCCACTGACAACCCTCTGCACTGCCAGTAGAGGGCTCCTCTGAGGCCCCACAGACATCCCCACTGTCATCCTTCCACCTGTGCTGTGATCAATGGACTGCTGGTGGGAGGGTGAGGAGGCAGCCAAGAGGGCACTGGGTGGGCCCCGCGTGTCCGCTGGGGGTGGGGTCTCCACTCTGTGGCAGTCCACAAGCATCTAGGCGTTAGACAGTTCATCAGAAATGGTCCACCCGTGCACACTGTGGCTTTTCTGTCCCTGAGCCTTGGGCAGGAGGAGGAATAGAAAGTCACCGCGGAGTGGGCGCGGCCTCTGACGCTATGCAGGCCCTGGGAGCGCTTGGTGCTGGGCAGGGGAGGGGCCGCGGACCCCTGGGAGCGCTTGGTGCTGGGCAGGGGAGGGGCCGCGGACCCCTGGGAGCGCTTGGTGCTGGGCAGGGGAGGGGCCGCGGACCCCTGGGAGCGCTTGGTGCTGGGCAGGGGAGGGGCCGCGGACCCCTGGGAGCGCTTGGTGCTGGGCAGGGGAGGGGCCGCGGACCCCTGGGAGCGCTTGGTGCTGGGCAGGGGTGGGGCCGCAGACCCCTGGGAGCGCTTGGTGCTGGGCAGGGGAGGGGCCGCAGACCCCTGGGAGTGCTCTGGTTTGGTCTGGCGGAGATTTGACCCCCAGAGTTAAGAGGTCCCTTCGGCCCTCACCATGCACTAACTCGCCTGCTTCCTGCCTGCTTTGTCAGGTACGCCACTGTCTATACCATGTTCCCTGTATTCTCCTTGGTGCTGGACCAGGACGTAAAGCCGGAGATGGCCATGCTGTATCCGGAGCTCTACAAGGACCTAACCAAGGTATGCGCCACCGAGCGGGAAGGGTATGCCTGGATGGCTTTCTGAACAGGTACTGTCTGTCTGTCCACATATTTCCTAGTTCTCATTATTCTTTGGCAATTTTCTTTTTCATTAAACTTCAAAAGGGCTTTTCTCCCATGAGAAAAGGGTCTCTCGATTGCTGGCAGTGCCTGTATGAGATCAGAGGAGAGGGCTCCAGGCCGTGGGTGAGTTTAGTGTAGAGACTCATCTGTCAGCTGTAGGCCAGAGCCCTGCACAACAGACCCTGGGTTCACTGCCTCCAGAAAGCCTGCTGCCACTGGAGATCTGGAATGTTCCTGAAGAAGGGTGTGGTTTGTCATGGTTTACATGAAAGCGTGTTCCAGAGTGCGGGGCGCGTAAGGCAGCACACGGAGGAAGCTTCCTGTCTCCAGACGCAGACTGTGCCCGAGCCCACGTGAGGACCAGCGCTGGCTCCTCCCCATGAGGCTGGCCGGCCTGCAGTCGTCGGCTCTGAGTCTCGGGGCCTCGCACAGGGCACAGTGAAGGGGAGCTGGCTCAGGCACTGCAGCCCCCTGTTAGCCCACAGGGAGGCACAGAGCGAGGCAGGGCTGCTTGTGCTGTCGTGTGCCAGTAAAGGACATAGTCAAGTAGATCTCAGAGTTCCTTGAAAAAGCCTAACCGGGACCCCAAAAATGTGATTTACCAGTGTCATGTAAAATGAGGTATATCAATGTCATGATGAAAATTTCATAAATATCGGGAGACATCATCCTAAATTACACTTATTACAACCAGAAGAGTTTTTGGTTTCACAACCTGCAGCACTGGATCCATTGTGATATGGTAAAGTGGGGTGCATCAGACCCCCAAAACTTCAGGGAGTTGTGGCAGGTCACCATCGGCTGACACACATCCCACATCTGAAAGCTATAAGAGTGCTTCCTGGAATACCTCCCACAGGAACAGGAAATGCCAGGCCACGCGGAGCCAGAGCCCAGTGCCTCAGCAGCCAAGGCTCCTGCCAGCGAGCCAGCAAGCAGGGACCCTCACGCACATGGCTGTGACCCCTCCATGGCGACAGCACCAGCATGGCGGGCAGAGTACCTGAGTTCCCGCCTCTATTGAAGGGTGACTATGGGAGCTAATCATCCTGCATGGACTCCCGGCTCAGGATGCTGTGCACATCTTTTGTGTCGGGGGCTCAGCTGCCCAGACTGCAACTACACATCTAGAGCATCAAAAGCAGCTAACCCGCTGCAGTAGCTGTGCAGAACTCGGCCCTGGTGCTTTGCATTCGTGTGGGGCGCCTGGCTGAGGCCATGTGGACCGTGTGTCCCACTCCGGGCTAGAGGCTGCTCAGTGAGCTTGGAGAGTGTCTTTCCCAGCATGTAGTCCCTGCTCTCAGCAAGCCTACGTTCTGTGGAGAAGAAAGTGTGGTGGGCATTGGCCTGGCCATCCCAGGCCCAGTATGTCCATAGTTGCTGTGTGCATGGTTGTCTGACAAGGAGGGAAGGGAGGGCACCAGGAGCCTCAAAGTATCCCACGTTTCAGTGTGTATCTGACCACACATCCTCGTAGACACATGACAAGCCCATACCCACTGTCCCTCCCACCTGGGCAGAGTCTGTCGGGCAGATGAACTTCAGGGAAGGAGTATGCCACCAAAACAACATTTCCTTGTGTTGCCTAAAATTGGATTTTATTCCAAAAAGTAAGTGGCGCATTTGCAGCAATGGGATCTCTATGTTCCTCTTGTGACGCTCGGGGTGCTCTGAGTTAGGACTTGAACTTGTAATGAACTCAGCCACCGAGGCAGGAGCTAGCCCGCTCACCTCTCCTGACTCGGTTGACCTGCCAGCGGCTGTGGCCCTGCGTGTAGTCACCAGGCCGCGGCCTGCGTCAAGACCTGACCAGGGCTGTGCGAATTGAAGATGTCAAACCCCAGTGATGCCACAGCTGCTCCTCAAAACCCTTGAGACAAGTACCTTCTGTTTTCTCTAGAATGTCAAAATCATGGTGTCTTCTGAAATAGACTTTTATGTCCTTACGTGACTTTAAAAAGAATAGTTATTAAGGCAATCAATGGAAATTAAGGACCTGGATTTTAGGAGGGAATAAAAATACTTCTGCAGATGATATAATTGTCTACATAGAAAATTCCAGAGAATCAACAAAACAGGACAAAATCCTCATAGTCTGCTAAGTTTAATAAGGGCTTGGGATGCAATAGTTGGAGCTGGGGGAAAAAAAAAAAGAGCCGTTACTTACAATAACCAAAAAAGTGAAATCTTCTGGTATCCTTCTGAGAACACACCTACATACTGTACGACATGAGAAACTTGACGGGAACAGACCCTGCGGATGCAGACGTGGGAAAAGGCGTTGCCCCATTTCAAGACTTGGGCAAGCATCGTTGTCAGAGGTAGACAAAAAGAACAGTGGAACCAAGCGCAGAAGCTCCCCTTCCCTCTGGCATGCGTGAAGGGATGCCAAAGGCAAGGGGAGCGGGGCAGGCCGTGATGTCCTGACAGCTGGCTGCCTCGGCCCTTGAGTGAACTCCGGGAAAGTCGTCGACCTTTAGAACAAAGCACAGGGAGAAGTATGGGCCCTGGGCTCAAAGGCAGGAAGCAGCCTGTTGGGGATTACCTGCACAGGCTCGGAGTACACTTGTGGTACAGGACTTAGATCCAGAACATGTGAGGAAACCGCCAAATTCAGCAGCAGGCAGCCCAGCTTATGCCTCAGTGAGAGGCTGTGCAGCTGGCACAGAAACATCAAAGATGCAATTCCTCAGGAGGCTGCAGGACACAAGGACCCACGTGCTACAGCAGCCCACGTCTAGGGCAAGGTGGGAAGTGGGGGCTCACAAGGCCTGGCATGCAGAACACTGCCGTCTCCTCAGAACACAACTGACAGCTTGTTAAGGAGCCAGCTAGATACTAGCTATGTGACCCAGTAACACTCTCCACGATATTTATGGCAACCTGGTCAAAATTGCCCCAAACCAGAAACAGGTATCCTCAGGCCAGTGAACACGTACAGGCCCAAAGAGCCTCACGGCTTCCTGTGAGCCCCGGAGCACAGGGAAATCCCACGGCGTGGGGAAGGCAGCCATAGTCAGATTGTGCTGAGCCCTAGGATGCACCACCCGTGGGCAGAAAGGAGGCCAGTGGGTGGGGAAGGTTGGGGGTCCGGGAGCATGGCGGGATGGGGAAGGAGTGGCAGGTGGCTGATGTGAAGAGAGCTGTCCTTCCTGACACTGTGGGCTGGGCACCCTGTGCACCGCACCCACAGTGAGCTCAGGGAAAAGAAATGCCTGCAGGGCAGGGAGAAGAGAAGCTATACCCGGACCACAGGCTCTGTCCCTCAGCGTCCTTCCCACAGGAAATGCCCCAGCACTGAAAGCCAGCTCATGTATCGGAGCTGCTGAGGATGGAGATGTGGGGGCAGTCATCAGTAGGTGTAGATATCCCAGATGTGGCTGTGCACAGCTGAGAGAGCATCCATGCCCCTGGGTGAGTCCCCATGGTATCCAGGCATCTGTCCCCTGCCCCAGCATGTACCTGGAGCCCATGTGCTGCCAGAAAGTGAGGTGCTCCTGAGGAACAGCAGTGAGGAGTGTGGACCAAGATACAGTAATGTCCCAGCCACAAGAATCAGCCTCAATGAGCTCCATGGCCAAAATAGGAAGAAATTGGGCAAAAAACAACTAACACTCAGATCATAGAAAAGACTAAGTTCAACATCCATGCGGTGTGTGCTGATGTGAAGAAAGAGAAGCCTCCCCACATGAGATGACGCAATTGCAAGATATGCACAACAAGAAGCAGGATCACAAGTAGACGAATAAAGACCAGGTCCAAACCCTTCCCCGTGCAGCGCAGGCACTAGGCCCAGGCCCTCCCCCGTGCAGCGCAGGCACTAGGCCCAGGCCCTCCCCTGTGTAGCACATTCACTAGGTCCAAACCCTCCCCCGTGCAGTGCAGGCACTAGGTCCAAACCCTCCCCTGTACAGTGTAGGCACTAGGCCCAGGCCCTCCCCCGTGCAGCGCAGACACTAGGCCCAGGCCCTCCCCCGTGCAGTGCAGGCACTAGGTCCAAACCCTCCCCCACGCAGTGCAGGCAGTCGGCCCAGGCCCTCCCTCATGCAGTGCAGGGACCCATGCAGTGGCTCTGTCCAGTGCTCCACAGCCCTAGCCGTACCCCCTCTCCCCAGACACAAGGCACTGCCAGAACCACACACTCATGCTCCGTGTCACTGGGCCAGGTGAACATGCAGCCTGTTCGTGTGGAGCTCTTTGTGGACAGGTGTCCCTGCAGCCCTGTCTAGGCTTCTGGGCATCAAGCGGCATCAGATAAGCTACCTTGAGCAATGTTCTGTGCAATCTCCGAGTGAGCCATGGCATAGAAGACCAGGGGAGACGAAGGAACTCAGACAGCTCCACAAGGTCTGAAGGTCAAGCAGCAAATATGGAGAAAGGATATTTGTGGGAAAGTGGTAACCTACAGACACTGTCAGTGCTCCTCACTCCCCACATGCTCCAGGAGGAGGTGGGCATGGCCCAGGCCAACCAAGCTCCCCATGCCATGCTGCCATGTACCTTGGTACAATAGGTTTCTTATCTGGGACTCTGGCTGCATGTGGTTCCACATGTGACCCAGGCTTGCTGTTGGTGGACTCAAAGAGGAGCACCTTCTGGGAGGAGTTGGAGAAGGCACACGGAGGCCACACCGGGAGAATCCTGGATGAGTACAGCCGCAGCTACAGCAGCTGGAATCGCCAGGGATGGGCCTGAGCTCTTGGACCTACACGGGAGACCTGGGTGGAGCTCCTGGCTGCTGGCCTCTGTCACACCAGCCCTGACCATTGCTGGCCTTTGAAGAGTTGCCAGCAGCTGGGGGTGGCCACCCTGCCTTTCAAGTAAATTTTTTTTGTAGAAGTATATGAGAAATGTAATTAAAGCATAAACATAAAACACATTAACTTTAATTTCTCAATACAGACTGCACCAATTCAAGACCCTTTTGTAAACAGTGGGATCACCGCCAGTCGATCTCTAAGGAATTGAGGGTCCAGAACATGTGCTCTTATCAGTGTCGGCCTTCTAATAGTTAAAGGAAAACACACGCCCTTTAGAGATTCTTGAAGATTAGGACTCAGGAGTCAGGGCTGCAATGCGGGTGCCAAGTGCTTTCTTAGCAGCTCAGCCGACTGCGTTTGCTGGATATGAGGAGCAGCGGGCACCTGCCTGTGCTGTAGAAAGGGCTGCTGAAGCATTGGCCGACTCCCCGAAGCGTCCTGACACCCAGGGCATTGGCGACTGCCACATGCCTTGTGGTAACTGGCCAGGTCCCGTGGCATGGCCGTGGCTCAGTGGTTGTCTGCAGGGCTGTGTGTTCTCCCGAGAATGACTCCTGTCCATGGCCGGGCATGGCACGCACCAAGCACAGGATGTGGGCTAAAGCAGTTGAGTGCCCCAGGTGCTGGCTGTCGCATCTGCAGCTGCTCATCCATGTACAGATAGCACACAGATTGCTGGAGTTCACCCTTCAGTTTTGTTTCACCCATTCTCTTTTTGACAAGTGTTAGAGAGAGCAATGGAGAGCTCTCCCAATGGGTGACTCAGCCACCAAGACTGCCAGGCCAAGGCCCACAGCCAGAAGCTCCTGCCAGGTCTCCCAACTGGTGGCAAGGGCTGAAGCTCTTGGTTCATCTCCTGCCTTCCCCAGGACATTAGAAAGCAGCACCCTTGAGATGCTGGCATCACAAACAGTGCGTTAGTGTAGCACAGCTCTGGCCCCTGTCCCATGTCTTCTCCACTCAGCCCTGGTAAGCTGCTGACTCCTCCAGGGCACTGTTCCCCAAGCCTTCCCAGTGTCGAAGCCCTCACTGCACTGCCCTGTCCACCGTCATGGCTCCTGCAGCTCAGATGGGGATTCCTAGTCCTGTTCAGACATGGAACAAGCTCAAGTTCTTAAGTACAAAAAATTTGGAAACCTGAAGTCACTTTTTCAGGCCCCCACAGCACAGTGCCCATCCACCTGTATGTGACCAGGTGCACACATCATGGTCCTGCCAGCACCATGTGCACCAGCATCATGAGTGACCTGGTGCCGGTACACATGTGCAGTCGTGTTAGGATGTCAGGGTCTTATCAAGTGTGTCATAGTGCACTAACAGCCTGGGGACACACATGTAGGCGTGTCGGCACTAACTGAACTCTTTTCTCTGCCCTAGGGAAGAGCCCTGTCCTTTAAGACCTTCCTCGTCTGGGTTCTGATCAGTATTTACCAAGGTAAGATGGCCCTGTCGCCACCAGGGGGCTAGAGCTAGCATTTTCATAGGGAACTCCCCACCATATCTTTCTTCTTTGCGGTGAAAACAGGACTTGAGGAGGTGGGATTGTGTCCCAGAAGTCATGAACTGTGTGTGCATGGTGCCCCAGGGCACAGGTAGTGTGCAGCTGGCAGACGGCCCACTGGAGATGCAATACATCCCCAGGAGCTGAACTGCAGAGGCCTCCCCGGTGTTGGTCCTGCTACAGTCCCAGCCCAGGCTCTAAGTAAATCACTTGTCAGCATGAGACACAGTTGTGTGCTTGCTCCTGGTTCACTTCACTGCCCAAACGCCCCCAACATCTGGGACTGAAACAGAACAGAGCCAGGAGCTGGAGCGCCATCCAGCTCTCCCAAGTGGGTCAGCGCTCTGAGGGCCTGAGCCTGCTTGCTTCCCAGCGCGCATGTCCACAGGAGGCTGGTATAGGAAACAGAGGTGGGACTCAGCCAGGGCACTCGGATACCTTGTGTAGGTGCTCCAGGTAGTATCAGATGACTGCCCTGGGAGATACTGCGTGAGGGCACCCCACACGGTGCCCGACAACCACAAGATACTGCATGAGTGTGCCCCACACGGTGCCAGATGACCACAAGATACTGCATGAGGGCGTCCCACACGGTGCCCGACAACCACAAGATACTGCAT